CGCCAGGTATAAAAAGCTCGATCGTTCCTTTCCCTCGCGAAGTATCGAATTAATTCGCCGTCTATTAAAGTCCTCACGATTACTCCTTCTCGCGAAAATATCCCGTAAAAATCTCGCGTCACCTTCAGGGTGTCCAGCAGACTCAATGAAAAAAAAATTCTCTGATTTTTTTAGATTTTCCAAGACCAGAAATTAATTTTTCTCTGACTTTTTAGTATTTTTTTTTCCAAATATATAATTTACATATATCTATATAATAAATCATTTGAATGTTAAATCATGAAATGATAATGATTTTTTTATACCTTGAGATATTTTTGTCAACAATGAAAAGGTTCGGTTAAAACAAAAATTTAAATTAATTATACAATCTGCATTATGTACGATAATCGAAACAAACGTGTCACTATAAACTATTTAAATAATCACCTTTTTTATTAATATTGTATCAAATTTTTAAATTTTGTCTCTACCTCTCAAACACATTGAAATAAAATAACACGACGATGAAAATATAAATAAACGAACACGCTGCAGATGAATCGATTTTTAACAACACAGAAAATTAGCATGCTGGGAGTCAAGGAAAAGTTGATATTTATTTAATAAAAAATTTCAAATTATTGAGACGCATGTAGAATAATATGAAAAATCCAGATAAATAATAAAATTTCCTCACTTTTTCCTGACAAGTTTTTGTATTACACGTGCAGGCAAAGTGGCACTTTGTGTGCGTGTTTTCTGTGTGGAAAGCGGCCGATTTCCCACGCCGCCATCTAGCGGCGTGCGATCGGCCACCTCGCGCACAGAAAACGCGCACAAAGCCACTTTGCCTTCGGCTCGTGCGTCCATCCCCCGCACTCGTGACCAATTGTCAACTTTCCGCACTTGATACACAATATACTATTCTATATCGATTTACATGCCGCGCCGTGCCGCGCCAATATCGAACGCGACGTGTCGCGAGAGATATGCGACCTTACTAACGAGGCCGGACGTTTAGAGCGTTTCGCGCTATAATTTCCTTGATTAAGCCGAGATATGTGGCGGATTGCCAAGAAGGGCGCGGTACGCGCATACATACATACATACATACATACCTAGCTCCGAGTTTCCTCCCGCCGAGGGTGGTCGGCGTGTGTCCGTTCGCTCGTAAATAACACGGCGAATTAAGCGTGTAATTTCCGCGCGAATTACGCGTCGGTCTGCCGCGATCTCTCCCTCGTGCAGGCTTTACCAGCGCGATACTTTTATTATTATTGTAAAAACGGCCAAAAATTTACGATTGCCCGACAGCGCGTCGTCCAACAAATCGCGCCCGAAACCGAGAGCCGGATGACAAATGCTTAATACGCTCGGAAATCTCTGTCGGGGAAATTAACAATATGGCCGAAATTAGTCATTTCATAAAACGCGTGTTCCAGATTGCAAATTGAACGAACGGATAAATATGGTGTAGAGCGGAAACGGAGATACAAATGGGAGTGTATGATAATTGAACGAGAAGTAATAAATATATATTAATGTAAAATATAATAAATCAATATAAAGTAATGAAAATAAAATTGAGAAATAGTGCAGCTGTTTGGAATGTCGTTTGTACGTTCTTTTGCTTTATAAATCTCCACATCTTTCTATGTACGGTAAGAAGAAATGTGCAGTACGACGACAGGATATTTGTTGCACGGTCGTATTTTTCCTTCTTTTTTTTCTTTACGGCGCGCGGTTTAATATTCCATGCACCGGTATTTTATATGCCTCGCTCTTTAAGATATTAAATGTCAATGACAACGGTGGATATGGGAATTTCGGCGATATTTTATTGGAGGTTTTGAATACATGTATGAAGAGAGACCCAGTACGCATCTGTTCCTCCTGATTGATGAAATAGATTGTGCTTTTGTGACACGCACCTGCGTCTACCGCATTCGTTCACATTCTATTTTGGATTCTCCTAAGGCATATATTGCGAAGTAGAAGATACATTACTTTTAGAATGGTCGTCTTGCTTTGTAATCTTACTGTGTCATCAACTTGCGATAAAAAAATACTGTATTTTTACCTCGTCTCTGCGTAGTTATTACGTGTAAAATGAGATTTCAACAGTTGTCTGCTTTTATTTTTCAATTTATAGCCGCAAATATCTCATCTTATTACAAGTTAGTTAAAATTTCATTGAATACATCTTTCATTTATTTAATTAAACAATTAAAATAATTTTTTATATCAATAGATATATTGCTAAATATATTTTAATGTGATGATACAAATACGTTAAATAACATATAGGTATGCACATACGTCAATTATTCAACTTTTAACTATTTTTTACGAGTGCACTAGCTTTCATCTGAATTTTTATTATTGCGCGTAATGTTGAGAATACACGCAATTCGTTGGAAGTCTCCAAAGCCGCTAATGCGGCAGATTCTGCTTAACTGCGTTTACGTTAATTACAGAAATCTCTCGCCGGGATCTGTCACGTTTAATTATACATTCTACATTAATGTCTAAAGAGTGCAGCTTCCTTTCATATTATTCTCACGGCTATTCCGCGAAATTTAACGAAGAAACGGGAATGCGTCCACGTAATCTGCGACAACGGAAGGTGGTGCAATTATCTATTTGGTATATGGCCAACATCGTTACGGCACGAGAGAAGGAACCAGAAGATATCTGTATTGTTCTTATCGTCGAAAAAAAAGGAAAAAAAAAAAACCGAGCGATGCGCTCTCCAAAAAGTGGCCGAAAGTTCAGGCATAATTTGTTCGCTCCAAAGTTCCGCTCCATAAACTCGCTACTACTCTCCTCGTCTCTTCTTTTTCAGTCCCCGTAGAAAAGAGAGCTGTAAATAATTAAACCCAGGCATAAAAACTCGGCGAGTTTCGCCGAGCCTGCCTGCACTTGCTTGATGCAACCAAAACAAAAAAAAAAAAAATGCATAAAGTTCCGAAGAGCAACGCGACACGACGAACAGGCAGTCGTGCTCGTTAAAACGAGGACCTCGTGGATCTCTCGCCGTCGTTTTTTTCCCCCTCTGTCGTTGTCGTTTATTGTGCGTAACAGCGTTGATAGTGCGCGAAAACAATCCTTTTTGAACAGGCCGACAAAACATTCCGTTTGTCGATGGATGTTATGCGGCGGCGACGAGTTACACGAGAATTCGGAGGCGTCGTTACACCGGAATAAAACAACATCCGAAAGCTTTTGCGCAATATTTGCCGAGCACTCTAATTGCCTTAAAGGTTTTTTTTTTTTTTTTTTTTTTTGCGCACGAGCTCGATCGGCGGAAACGAGGGATTAGCAATTTCTAATTGATTTTATAATTAACTTTGAAAAAATGGCGTTTCTTATTTTTTGTACGACGTCGCTGCTCCTTTTTTCGCGCTCGTTAGCAGAAATTTATTTCAGGTTCTAGTGCTCACTGGTGGATTAATTTGTTAACTATTTGCCATGTTTTATAATTTAATTCTAAGATTACTCGGTGTTTTATATTTATTTTTAATTCGTTATTAAAAAAAAAAAAAATGAATTATTACACGAAAATGTCATATATAAAAGAGATTTCCTAAAAGAACGTTTCTCAGCGGAAAGTTTGAGAAAGGACTCCTTTAGCGAGTGTTATTTTTACGAGTACGTTCTTTTTTTTTTTTTTTAACCGTAACCATATATTCCGAAAACTATGGTCGTCCGTTCCAAAATTACCCTATTATTTCACCATATGCTTCGAGGGGACCGCGAGTGATAAACTCATCTGCTCCCTCCACTTTTCTTCGACGCTGCCCGAAAATCTATTAAAGAAATTGTCGGTCGGCACACACGTCGGCAATCCTCGCAAGTCGTTTCACGCGCCGTTCGCTCGCACCTGCTCACGCGTGAGCGAAAGAGCAGCGAACTTCACTTGACAGACGGACGAAGGAATGCACGGGATTCGGGTGCAAAGCGAACGCACCTCCCGGCGATAACCGCTCGTCCCATCCCTTCCATTTTTTATGACACTCGAAATCCGGCGGAAAAGCGACCTCGGGGGCGAACGAGTGCGCGAGAGGTCGCTGGTATTTCCAATTTCACAGAGCGTGGGTTAACGAGGCCCACGAGGGGCGAAGAGAAGTTAGGGCGACCACCCTGCGTAACTTCCCTGTCGGCCGCCAAAACTGACGCCGACGGTATAGCCCCTTTAAACGCGCCTGCAACCTCTCTCTCGCGCGACGACCCAGGGGTTCCGGCACATTACCTTCGCTGATTACCAGGCCCGTCTCGCGGAGTATGTCACCCCGAGACACATACCTTCCGGAGTGCGGCGACCCTTTCGCAGGTACGCATCCGTCGAGATAAACATCGCCTGAGAAAGCCGGGACGAGAGAGAACGACGCGTTCGGATGCTCCGGGAGAGTCTTTGACCCACTCGTTCGTTAGATCTTCGCGTCGAAAGTTAACGATGTTACGTGAAATGAGAATAATAACGTGTACGCTGTAAAAAAATATGTAATATATTTTACACAAAAGTATGTAAAATTACATAAATAATAAGTGTAAAATTACACGATAAATAATAAAAATGTTTATTACCTTTTCATTATTTATCGTGTAATTTTACATTTATTATTTATGTAATTTTACATATTTTTAATGTAATTTTACAAAATTTTTTTACAGTGTATAAAAAGCGTAGAAAAATATATAATATATTACAAAATTTTTTTACAGTGTATAAAAAACGTAGAAAAATATGTAATATATTACACAAAAGTATGTAAAATTACATAAATAATAAGTGTAAAATTACACGATAAAATAAAAATGTTTATTACCTTTTCATTATTTATCGTGTAATTTTACATTTATTATTTATGTAATTTTACAAAATTTTTTTACAGTGTATAAAAAGCGTAGAAAAATATATGAGAGACCATAATGAAGGAATGCAATTTGAATTTCTTTTCTTTGTGTGTATTGTATATAATACGTATTGAGGGCGGAAAATTTTTTTTATATTCCAGAGCAGCGCAGAAACTGAATCTGTCGTCGAGCCCGCATCGGAGACGACGTTCCGGGGACGAAAACATCGGATCTGACGAGCTGCCCATTTTTCCCAATGGATACGCCGCGCTTCTTCTCAAGTCACCACCTCCGGCACCGCCTGCCCTTCTCAGGAGGATAGGTGTAAAGGAGCTCACCGGGGTCGGGAAGGTAAGCCCTTATCGATATCGTAGCCTCGGGGCGCAGACGACGAGGTTTCGGTCGCTATTCTGAAAAATACCCGACCATGAATTTCTCCAACCGATCGCTTCTATCATCGGCGACGATGAGACCCATACGGACGTTTTTCATCTGGATATATTTAACCTCGTATTTGACATTTCTTATAAAATTAGCGAAGAGAAGGTTTTCGATATAAAATAATAAAGGATATTTTAGATTTGAAATCCCCATAAAAAATTAATTCTCTAAAAAAATGTTGTTTATTAATATTTAAAAAATCTCTGGTTCTAGGAAGAGAGAAATTCTAGGAAGCGGATCTTATAAAATGATCGAAGAGAAGATTTTCGATATGAAATAATAGGATTTTAGATTTGAAATCCTCCTAAAAATTAATTCTCTAAAAAAATATTATTTATTAATATTTAAAAAATCTCTGGTCTGGGAAAAGAGAAATTCTAATGAAACAGATCTTATAAAATTATCGAAGAGATTTTCGATATAAATAGGATATTTTAGATATAAAATTCCCCTAAAAAGTTAATTCATAAAAAAAAAAATAAAATGTTATTAATATTTAGAAAATCTCTGGTCTGCGGGAAGAGCGCAATTCTCGGAAGCAGATCTAGAAAGAATTAGTTAGTGAAAATCGACACGAGCCGAACAATGTAAAAATCCATTTTCCGCGGTAAGAAACCATTTTCGTTTCGGATTAATCAAACACGTGGACGTAACGCGCACGTAACGTGAATGCACTCTCGCATATATAACAACGTCTGCTCCACGATAGAATTTCCGCGTAGTTTAATCGGGACAAGAGAGCCCGCAGCGTGCAAACCTTCGCCTAGCCGTCTGATCCGGAAGCACGGTCGACTTCCGCTCGTTTCGTTTGCGCGGCGCTTACCGTAAATCCGTGGCCGTTCAATTCCACCACAGGGGAGTGAAGGGAGATGCAAAAAGGGGTGGGAGAGAGAAGAGGGAAGGAAGGAGAAGAACGTGGGCCCCCGCAGCTATCCAGCGGAATTTCCGTCTTATGTGCACGCTATCCTCCGGCGTATGTGTATGCGGGCGAAAACAATCACGACATGCACGAGTGACGTCTTTGTGTACGCAAGTGTACATGTAATGCGCGTTCACCAGCCGGGAGAAAAATGCACGTTATAGCATATTTGCATGCAAGAAGTGCATGCAAGTGCATGAAACGCGGGAATAAAGTTTCAATTCTAATCAGTGTATTTAAAATATATCGCATGAGGTTTTTAATTGTTTATATAAATTAATGAATCGATGGATGGAACGAGAAAAATCTTTTGTATTACACGTGCAGGCAAAGTGGCACTTTGTGTGCGTGTTTTCTGTGCGGAAAGCGGCCGATTTCCCACGCCGCCATCTAGCGGCGTGCGATCGGCCACCTCGCGCACAGAAAACGTGCACAAAGCCACTTTGCCTGCAATTGTAATACAAAATATCGTGTGTATCAAGTGCGCACTTGATACAACTTTCCGCACTTGATACACAATATACTATTACAATGCGCGTTCACCAGCCAGGAGAAAAATGCACGTTATAGCAGATTTCCGTGCAAGTGCATATGAAACGCGGGTTTAAATTCTAATCAGTGAATTTAAAATATATCGTGACCTTTTTCATTATTTTTATAAATAAATGAATCGATGGATCTCGAATGAGAAAAATCTGTTACATATTTTCTAAATTTTTGGATCCGGTAAAATTCTGCCGTATAAGTTAATTTTTGCATAATCATCGTATGATTAAATTGAATTGTTCCCACTTTTAACATCGCCGTCGATTGCTCGATCGTGCGTCCTCGAATGATGCTGTACACGTGCTGGATCTGCAGAAAGACGTGCGCGCGTAACAAATCTTCGTACAGGCGTGCGATTTGAAATGCAGATGAGCGTCTCGCGCCACTATAAGCCGTCGGTTTTCATCCCCCTTCTCCTACCCTTCCTGCGCTGCCACTAGGCTACAACCCTTTCGCCGTTTCCATTCGAGAGGACGGGCGTCGAATATCCGGTTTAAACTATCAAACTGGATATCCGCAACGGAAGCTCTCTGAAACGGCCCCAAGTTCGCCAAACGCGCTCGAAACGCGAATCGTGATGGCGAAGATAGAGATTGGACGGAGCGAATTGGACTATCCGAGAGATATATCTCGACTTTCAATCGCCCTCGCCAGAGCCTTCCGCCGATATAACAATATATTGGCATGTACAATTTCCAACATCCCTAGATGCATCAGCTATCTCTAGAAATCAGCATTTTACTTGAATAGAATATATAATATTTGTAGCCTTCGCAAGAATACATATAGAATACTTGAAAGGCAAAATTAAGAAAAAAAACATAATAAAAATATAAAAAAAAAAAAACATTTTACATAAAAATGATAAAGAAATAAATTTCAAAACATTCCCGACGATATATAATATATAATAATTATGAAGTTAGTTATTCAAGTATTGATTCGCGAAAGACAGGTATTTAATTGTACACTGTACCGTGGTTACATAACAGACGTGCGTGGCGAATGGTGGAACGAGGGGTTTGATCAGTATGTTGATGAAGATGAAGTCGGACGAAACGAGCCGAACCGCGTTCGTGTAATCTCCAGAGTGTACGAACGCGGTACGCTTAAATATTTGCGCGGCGGATGACGGCGAGGATCGCCCGGGCGACGACAAAACGATTTGACAGGTCCGAGCGTAACCGTCCGTATCTCTCCTGACGCGGGAAATGTGTTCCGCATAAGCGCGCGAAAAAGAGGACGCGACGTGATGAAGAGCCAATTTCCCCGCGGTATTAATTATGATCGAGTTACGCGGGACGTGTAGGTAAGGTCCGCGTTAAACTTCGCAAGTGTCTTTGCAAACTTCAAATCGGCCCCCGCATTCGCGAAAAGTTAAACCGGAGACGTAGTATAACTAAGAGAGTTTTAGGTGTTGAAAATTGAAAGAAATTTTCCGCCTCAATTAATCTTCCTTCACACTTTGATGTAATTAAATCAAAGATATAACGTTAGATTTTTATTTTTATGTATATACAATGAAAAGTAATTTTAAATAATATTAACCCTGCGTAAAAATATGAACATCAGAGTCTTTAAAAATGTTTCAATGAAATCTCTTTTTTATTAAATAAATATTATAATATAAAATTTAAAAACTTGAGATTTCTTATAGCTATTAATGAACGAACGCTTGACTGTTTTTCCCCCCAGAATATAAATTCGACAAAAATGCCTCGATTGAATAATTTACAACAGAATTGTCGATTATCGCGTGACGTTTTTGCTCTTCAATAACGACGAGCGTCTGATTTTCTTGCGGTCGGGGAGCATCGGTTCGGTTCGGATCCTAAGGGAGCTTAACGCGGTCGGGTCTCAGAAATTCCGGCGAAGCATAGGGCGCAGTGTTAGTATTACATGAAAGGGATGCTCGTTACGTTTTGAGATGCGCATCCCCCAGCGGAATAAAAGCTAGCGTCGCGCAGACGGCGATCCGACAAACCTGGAATTGTTTTTCGAATTAATTTGTCAGAAATAACGGCTTATTGTTTACGGACGGGCGGACTAATTAAAGTAGAGACAGCGAAGACTTGCGGAAAGATACGGAGAGGTAAAGCCCATTTCTTCGGTAGACCGGCCATATTGTTGCGCGGAGAACTTCGTCGGAGGAGAATCGAGTCGTTCACTTTTCCATTCCTCCTTCCCGCCGTGCAGCTTCATCCCTTGAAAGGGAAATAAAGTTTGCCCACCCACGCTAAGCGCGTTTGACTCGCATTAATTAACGGGCTTTTCCACAATCTGATGACTCTTTGGATTTCGGTTTACTCAAACCCCTCGATTATTCGCATACTATTCCACAACAATTTGTTACGCCAAGAGAGTGAGAAATTTTCGTAAACTTCTTACGATTCATGCAAATTAAGAGGAAAAGTTTGCGGTAACTATTTCGGTAGTTATAATATTTTCCCATGTGATTAATTTTAATAACTCTTATAACGATCCTCTCTTCTCATCAAAATATATTTAATATATATTAATATTACATCAAAAAATATATATATTAAATTCGAATTTGATATTTTTCTTCCCGAGTAGCCCTAACATCCCTAGAGTTATTCGAACAGCTTGAATGGCCGTATATAATTCTTTCGGAGATCGTTCCGCGAGCTGGCGCAGCAAACTCGCATCAAACTCCTCCGAGTTACGTATATATATGTATACGTGTCGCGGCCTCTCTCATAAATAGATCCCTTACCGCTGGTAATTATCGCTTTCACGACAGGGTAGCTGCCTCTTCTCGCGGTAGGGTCTGTCCGGATATTTAGTGTCCTCGCCGACAGAGAGAGAGAGATAGAGGGAGAAAGACCCGGGAGTTAAAGCCGTCTGCGCGAAATGGAGACTGAACGCCGGGTGCTTTAGCTCGGCTTCGCTCTCGTTTTAGAAGACGACGAGTCGTCTGCAGTTGCGAGTGGCCGCGCTCGCTCTCGCTCCCTAAGCTCGCTCGCTCGCGTTTCAGCGCGTTTTGCCGGAACGTCAGAGAGACTTTAGAGCGGCTCCGGCCGCAATCCCCGATTCCCTTCCCTTTCTAACCTCTCTCCGTTTCTGTTTCTGGCGGTACTTTCGGCCCGCTCTGTCTGTCGGCGTCCAATTTGGAGCTCGGGCTATCGCGGCGTGTCATTTCAACCAGAGATGCGACAAAGCTGCAATATTATACCAATAGCGGCTCGGATATCTCAACGCGAGCATCAATCACGGTACAGGGAAGATATGCGAATAGAGTTGTTTCGATTGTAAGAGAGATAGAGAGAGAGAGAGAGAGAGAGAGAGAATGATGAACTTTTAACATAAATTGTTTCTTGACTTGAAATTAACGGTACCGGAGATAATCGGGATGAAATTTTGCTTCAGAGATTTCGAGGTATATTTAATTTTCGTCTATTTGTCTCTCTTTTTCATACTTAAA